CTGTGCCTCTTTCCAGGAACATGCCCAACCTCTCCCCCACTGGGGTGAGGACCCCGGTCTCAGGCCTTCCTCTTTTCAGAAGCGCCCCGCCCACAGCAGATGCCCACTCATTGTCTAGATGATGACGAGGGCTTTCGGGGACACCCGCTCACCCATCTGTGCAGACAAACACACTGGCAATTCTCTCAATGGGGATTTGGGCCGGAGAAAAACACCCAGGGAGAGAATTGGATCCATTGCAACCGTCCATGTGGCTGGAGCGGGGAGGGGACTGACTGCAGGCCGGTCTCCCTAGGAGACAGCATGGCGCAGAGGGGGAGAATCCCATGCCAAAATCTCTGCTTGCCATGTACTGACTGGGTGGCCTTGGGGAAGTCAGTGAACCTCTCTGAGCCTCAGTTTACTCATCTGCAAAATGAGGCTAATTTTACCTCTCAGGGTGGTTGTAAGCATTCAAGGGGATGAGAACGGCAATGCACAATGCATGACATACAGTGGGAGCTCAGCTAGGGTCCAAGCTCCAACCCCTCGTTCCTGCAAAGTGAAGAATCAATCTTCCGCTAAGCCAGCAGTCAGCAAACTCATTAGTCAACGGAGCCAGCTATCAACAGCATGACGACTGAAGTTTCTTTTGAGAGCCAAATTTTTTAAACTTAAACTTCTTCTCATGCCATTACTTCAACATAGCCTCTTGCCCAGGCCGTGGCATTTTGCGGAAGAACCACATTCAAGGGGCCAAAGAGCAGCATGTGGCTCGAGAGCCGAAATTTGCCAACCACTGCACTAAGCTGTTAGCAGAAAACCCTCCCACCGAGTTCAGGGCAGTGTGCCCCATGATGAGCACAGTGCCTCGCACACAATCGGCACACACTACACGTTTGTGGGCACAGGAATAACTGAATTTCAAGGGGCCTGAGGATGGAGCAGAGGTGGGCAGGGTGGTAGGCCAGGTCAGACACCTACATGGATGCCAGGAAAGCTGCTAACAGGACTAACCAGCCTCCTCTTTGTTTGGCCCGTCACAGACTGCTTATCCAGAAGCCCAGGCAAACTGCTCAAACCCCTCCACCTCTGTCCCCCAGCATCCCGCCCTGAACTGTAGCAACAGTTACATGTGTATGAGACAAAGGCTCTGGAAAGTCGGGCAGCCAGACCCTTCTAAGGCATCACTGGTCCCTAGAGTGGCCCCGGGACTCTCTGCAGCCCGAGAGAGGGGTCATGGGAAGGAAAGAGGGAGTCTGGGGCTGGACCAGCTGGGAGCCGGAAGGAGCCAGTGCTCCTGCCATGAACAAATCTTAAATCGCTGAGCCTCGCTTTCCGATCTGTGAAAAGAGGAGCTTAAACCCATCGCACAGCGTACGTGAGGGCTGTGCAGCAGCCAGCACGTGCTGGACACGTGGCAGCTGATCCACATAATCGTGGTTATTGGAAACACAAAACCCCAGCTCCGACATGAGACAGGCGCGATCTGAGCTTGTTGGAGGCTTGCTGTGGAAGGGTGGTTAGATACAGGGTCTCAGCACCGCACCGATGGGGGCCCCTCTCCTCTGAAGCCTATCCTCTGGCCTAAGGCGTTAGGGTTGGGGAGGAGGAAGATCAGCTGCTGCTTCAACAAGCTTCTCCTGCTTAGAAAACAACAGACCTTTCAGAACCACTGAAGTGATCTCCGAGGTCGCTTCCAGCCCTAACAGTCTCTGCACATAAAAGAGAAAACCCAACGCAACATCTCAGGCAAAGCTCCAGTTTGCATCTGGGGTGAGAAGGGAGTGGAGGTGCTGCTGGGGGTCGGGACATTCTGGGGGAGCAGGAGAGAAGCAGCCTGCCCAGAGCAGGCCCTTTAACACAGCTGCCGAGGGCTCAGAAGGAGCCTGCGGTGCCCAGCCCCAACGGGTCAGGGCATGGGGTGGGGGTGGAGAGGGAGGATAAAGATATAAAATCCTCACGCCAGCTCCAGCAGCACAGCCCTGCAGTCTCAATGCTGCGGCTGCCTCAGCCCAGCCAAGCTAGCCACCCCCCTCCAACCCACCTGCTGATGCGTGATGGTGCAGAGAGGACTGGCAGGGCCTCTGGCTCCCCCTAACTGGGCCTGCCCACCCCTACTCTTCCTGAAGAATTTCCCAGAGCCCCATGTGGCAGGTCCAAGAGCCATTCTCCAGACCCCACTTCCAACTCCTGGGACCCCCACCCCCCCTAGGGCCCCCACCCCCACCCCCACCAGGGCCACTGCGCAGGCCCAAGAGCAGAGCTTCCTTCCCAAAAGTGCCCGGTTGAAAATGCCATTCAGGTGCCCTGGGTGATGGAGAGACCTGAGAAGAATGAATTTCTCCCCTGGAGTCAGATTCCAGGGAATGGGGGGGGAGGTTTGGGGGGGGGGCAGTGGCAGGCATTTCCCGCCACCCAGCCAGCCAGCCTGTGCAGAGGACTCCTGGACTCCTTTCTAACCCACCTCTCTGAAGAGGAACCCCTTTGCTTTGCAACCCACAGGGGCAGAACAGGCCAGGGCACATTGGCCAGACCCTCTCTGGTATGACCAGCCCAGTCCCCCACTGAGCAAGCAAGTTTATGATTCTTGCTCCAGATTCTATGCTTCTTGCCCCAGAGGCAGCCTGGGCAGGTGGGCCTGCAGAGACCAGTGCCAGGTGCTTGGCTCTTGGTCCAGGAAGGGCGCCCTCCTCCGGCAAGCCGGCCTCTTGCATCTCTTGCGGACCCTACTGTATCCCCGCCCCCTCGCGGGCACTGACTTGGAAGCGGGAAGGAGAGACCCCACCCACGCGCAGTCTTGTCTCCTCTGCGGAGAACAGGCTGCTCCCCTGCCATCTGGGACCCCGGTCCGCGCCCCAGGCTCGCAAAGTTCCCGGTGCGCGATCCGGGTCTGCGCCTCTCCTTCACCCCGAGCAGCGGAGCTGAGAGGCCAGCCGGCTCCCCAAGCTCAGGCTCCCCAAGCCCAGAGGCACTCACCCCGGCTCCTGGGCCCGCCTCCCACAGCCTGCTTTGGAGGCGGGCAGAGGGCTGCAGGAGGCCCGCGGCTCTGGAGCCAGAAAACGCTGCTCGCGGTTCCCCGGAGCTCGCAGGGTGGGGTCCTGATGGAGCAGGTTTCCCACCAAAGCTTTTCCCATCGCTCGCCGCCATCCCCTTCTCCTGCCGGGTCCCTCTGTTCTGAGCATTGGGGGGTCAGGGGCGGGTTGTGGGGAAGGGTGCTCACTTCCTGCCTCCAACCCCAAGCCCTGCTTGCTCCCTGCAGTGGCCAGGTGAGGGCTCCGGTGCCTCAACAAAGCCCCGCGCCCTCTCCGTGGAGGAAGCGCAGGCGGGTCAACCCCTACCCCCATCCCTCCTCTCCATCCAACCTCGCCCTCTAGGGGCATCCGAGGTTGGGAGTAGAATTTGATCCACTTTGAAAAGTCCATTGCTCCCAGGATGGCGGACAAAGTGCGGGGCCTGCCTTCCCCTGGGTCATACCTGCCTCTCCCCCTGGGGCCAGCAGGGCCACCATCAGGCTCCCCTCTGCAGACCCGCGCCCTCCAAGGACCGCGGAGAAGAGGGGGTGGGGTTTAGGGGCGCCCCTCCCTGGCAAGCACTCCAGGAGCCTGTTAGGCACCACTCCTCAGGGCAAGGCGTGCACAGAGGGCAGTAGGCTTCCCCACCTCCATCACCCCGTTGAGTCAGGGGCTGAGCCCTACTGGCCATGGCCACAATGGCTACTTCTTGGCACCCCTGTCCCTTTGCCCCCTCCACGCGGAGCCAGGCTGTGACTCCAGAGGGGCTTGTTTTGGGCACCCAGGTTTGACAGAGGCTTAGGGAGGATCCAGGACCAGGACTCTGACCCTCGAGGGCTCCTCCCTGGTCCCGCCTCCCTCCAGCTGGGCGGGTGGCCCTTGCCTGGCTCCGGAGACCCAAAGGTGCCTGAGTCGCAGGTTCCACTCCCGCAGCTTGTAAGACCCATCAGCCAGTAGCCAGGGCAGGAGGCACCCAGGCCGCGGAGAACCGGGGACTGCGGAACCTCGGACCTCAGATCGCTAGCTCTGGGGAGCCCGCTAGGCTTCCTCCTTCCCGCTGGGACCAGTCCATGTGGGACACACACATGCCACCGCTCAGCCTCCGCACCCCCACGCGCCCACACCTGCCCCCCAACCACACGCTGGGTCCACAACACGACCCCCCTCCCCTCGCAGCACCTCCAGGCTCTGCCCAAGGGTCACATCCCCACCTGCTGTGCACGCACGCCCCCGCCCAGAAACACAATCCTTTGCTGTCACACACCCCTCCAGGGGCCCGCACGCTTGGGGCACGAGTGGAATGCCACACCTCGCACACGCACCCACCCTTCACCACGCTCACACAGACAGCGGCACGAGCTCACACACTTCACACCCTCACGGAGCGGCTGACACAACCTGAGCCCCAAGCACTCTGGCGCTCTCTCTCTCTCTCTCTCTCTCTCTCTCACACACACACACACACACACACACACACACACACACACACACATACACACACACACACACACACACACACACACACCTTCCCCGCGTAACTGACACAGACACTCTGCACCCCTCCAGACAAGCTCACGCCCGCACCCGCACACACATTCGCATCTCTCAACGCGCTCCCGCACCCTCTTCACACGCAGCTTCTAGCCGGCACCCTCACACCCCGGCACCCTCACACCCCGGCACCCTCACACCCGAGCACCCTCACACCCGGGCGCAACAAAGGCACGATCGCGCGCGCGCGTACACACACACACACGCACACAGAGACACGCACACACATGCACACATATGCGCGCACACACACACACTGGCACAGACCCAGAGCCCAGAGCGCTCTCCCCCGGGAGACAGTCTCCCCGCCTCCCTCGCCGAGCCGACCAGCTCCGCAGATCCCCACGCCAGGACCTGCGCTCGGACCCGAGCCTCCCTGAGCACCCCCGCCCGCGCCCCTCCCCGGCGGCGGCCCCAGCACCCTGCTGCTGCCCGGCCCCGCGGGCCCGCACTCACCGCGCGCCAGGTGGAGGGTCGCGGCGAGCAGCAGGCAGCCGCAGCCGCGGAGGCTCGGGGCGGCTCGCATGGTGCCCGGGGGCGGGCGGCGCTGGCAGGGCGGCGGCGGCGACGAAGGCGGAGGCAGGTCCCCTCGCCATGGGCTCAGGCGCGCTCCTGCCTCGGGCCGCCAGCCGAGACGGCGGGGGACAGCGCGGGGCGCCGCGGGGGCGCCCCCATGCCGCCGCGGCCCGGCTGCCCGGGCGCCGGGCTGGACTGGGCTCGGGCTCCGCCGGGCGCCACGACCCTCGGGCTCCGGGCTCCGGGCTCCGGGCGTCCTCCGGGCTCCGGGCTCCGGGCTCCCGGCTCCGGGCGTCCTCCGGGCGCGCAGCAGCCGGCTCCCCGCTCCGCGGCTGCGAGCGGCACCGCCAGCGCCGGGATCCGGGTCCGCGGCGGCGCTGGAGTTTGGAGCCAAATTGCGCTCTCGCTGCCTCGCACTCGCCTCTCCCGGCTGCTCGAGCGCCCCCCTCCCAGCGCCCTCCCTCCGTCCCTCCCCTCACTCCCCGCCCCCCGCCCTCCCCTCCCGCCCTCCCTCCCCTCGCCGCGCTCTCCGCTGTATTATACAGACTTTTCTTTAATCCTTTCTGGGCTGTTCGGTTTTCTCCGCTAAGCCGATTTATTGCAGGGAGAAGGAGAGTTCCCTCCCTCCCCCCCCCTCCTTCCTTTCTTTCCTACCTGTCATCTCCCCCCACCCCTACCTCCGAGGACACCCCCCCACACGCACACACCTCCCTGGAAACCCTTGTCTTCACAACCATCGCCCAGCTGACCTAGGCTCCTGCCCTCCAGAAGCCAAGCTCTAGCTGACCCCCCTCCACCTAGTTCCATCCCTGGGATTCCCCTGCTCCCCGCACTGCCCCCCCCCACACACACACACAAACACACTGATGGGGAAGCAGCCTCAGGGCCTCCTACAGGGATGCCTCCACAGCAGGCAGGGCAGGCAGGGTGTGGCCCCAGACCTGGCCTTGCTCCTTACTGGTAGTAATGCCTTGAGGGGGAAAGACCAGGGGCACAAGTGTTCTGAAACTTCCCAAATCAGGGGTGCCCTCCCCCAGGAACGGGGGAAATGGGGTGTTTTGTCCTTTCTTCCTGGAACAGCCACAGGCTTGGATCCAGCCGGGAATGGGTAAGGAACGGGCTGTTTCCTCTTGGCAGAGGCTAGGTTTTCACTTTGTTGGCAGATCTGATGCCCCCTTTCACCCCAGGCCTGAGGAGTGGACCATGGGGCTTGTATCTTAGCCTTTACCTCCAATCAACACACACACACACACACACACACACACCATGGAGCTTGGGGCCTGGCTGTGGGCCTTGGGGTCTCCTAGGAGGGAGAGCCCTCAGGGTGAGCTGGGGGCGAGGTTGGATAGGGCAACTCAGCGCATGTCATCCCTGGAGAAGGCCAGCTGGAGCACAGCCAGGTCAGCATGCCAGGCCAGGCCTGAACTCAGAATGCAGGTCTCCAGTTCCGGACCCAGTGCGCTCTCTACAGCACTCCACAGAGAATCCCCAGCTCCCCCAGCTCCATCCCCTTGCCTCATGGACTTCTACACTACTTACCCAGCTGGCCAATGGGTACACAGCCAGCTGCACAAGCAGCCCTTTGAGGGAGGGCAGTGAGCAGTGAGTGGCTGCTAAGCCTTCTGTTGGGGAGCTCTGTGCAGAGATGCTCCCTGGCAGGGACCTGCCTCCTCCGTTAGCGCCCTCTCCCCCTCTCCCAGCCTCACCACAGGCTCCCCCAGGCAGCCCTGCTGCAGCCCCGCCTCCCAGCCAGGGCCCCAGCCCCAGAGAAGGCGCGATTTGCATTTATGAAGACCTGGAAGCAAACGTTCACCTGACAGGCTTTAGAATGATCCTCTCAGTAAAATAATAATAATGATCATAATAAACCCTTATAAATAGGTGTTTGATTACAGTTTGTCCCTACGAGGATTTTTTATTTTTTTTGAATCAGACTAATTGGCTGCCAGGCTGATGGGGCTGGTTCTGGCTTGAATACCAGAGTCTTGGGTCCTTTCTTTTCACTTTGGCTGGCTGTTCTTCCCTCCCGCTCACCCACCCCCTCCCAGGTCTCTCCTTTCCCAAGTTGCTAGGGGCCAGCTTAAGTCACCTCTCCACACCCTCCCTCCTTTGGGCTGATCCAATTATGCCAAGTCTCTGATTGCCTCCTCTCCAACCTCAGCTTCTGGCCAAGAAAAATGCCACCAGAACCCACCTCCATCCTGGGTGCCAAGCTCTCTGTGGAAGGCCTTTCCTGCCTGGGAAGCAGTGTCAGCACCCTCTCGTTGGCAGGTTGGTCTGAGTTCATCAGCTGAACCCTGAACAGGGCTCCTGTCTGTGCTTACTGCAGTCCAGCCATTAGAGAGGGAGCCAGGGCTCGGGTGGGATTCCAGCTCTCTGCTCACCCATTTGTCCCTTCAGCGGAGTAAACATCCCCAGAGAGCAGCGGGAAGAGGCTAGAGATGCCTCCAATTGTGGCAGCTCTGAGCGACATCTAGCAAGAGGCTAACACGGAGGGAAGGAGGCCCGACAGCCAAGGGGAGTGGGTGGGGTGCTCGTAGGGCCAAGGATTGCACCAGGAGGGGAGTAATGGTGGGCCCTTCAGCCCCAGGACTTCCGAATCATTCCCACGCTCTTGTAATCTCAACCTGTATGAGAATTATTGTTCCTCTTGGCCAGGTCCTGGCACACAGTAGGCCATTGAGAAATCCTTGTTGGATGGGTGGATGGATGAAGGCAGGGCACTGCATTCTCAGCTCTTGTGCGAGGCTGCCACTTGGCAGGTGATGGCGGGCATCCTGTGGCAGGAACCTTCTCAGAGAACTGACGCCCTCCCCCTGGGTTGTGTGTTCAGTAATACCACCACCTTCATACACCCTCTCTCGGGGGACCCCGTGCATCCAGCTCCTGTTTTATAAAACACGGCTTCTGAGACCTTTCTTCTGCCCCAGAGACAGGCATACATGAAGCACCAAGAGCCCGGTTAGCAGAGGGCACAGGGTGATTTAGCCAAGAGGAAAGTCACCCAGGGCAGCCACAGGCTTTTAATTTGCTGAACGGCCCTTGGCTCCTAATGGATGGGCCGCCGGCAGTATGATCTCCACTGGCAGTCCTGGCACTCAGGCCCGTTAGTCAGGATGGTGCATGCCTCCTCCTTGTGCCATGGCTGAGCAGGGAGGTGCCCTGGACCTCCCGGGGGTCAAAGTGGGAAGGTCTGTCCTCAGCCTCCCTCTGTCCATGGTCCTGAGCTAGGCTCTTCCAACAGAGGGCGCTACAGCACAAAACAAATCTATTTCCTCCTGACCCTAGGATACACCCCCAAAGGTCAAAGGGGTCCTCTGTGACCTCTAGTTTGTTTGTTCCCAGGAGAGGGGCGGGATATGTTATATTATCATTGATCACAGCCTGGTTTCCAAAGGTGTGGATTCCCAGGGTTAGGGGAAAGACCCCCTGGGAGGTTTGATAATGGCGCTGAGAGTAGCAAGCATTTATGAAAGTGCTTCTCCTTTGCTGGGCACTCACTGAACATTCACAGTAGCCTGTGAGGCTGAACTACCATTATTCTTATTTTACAGATGAGAAAACTAAAGCACAGAGAGGCTAAGCAACGTGCCTAGTGCCACACAGCAACAGAACCAGATTTGTACCTAGGAAGAGTCCAGAGCCGGAGCTCTTGAGTGTTCATCCTGGCTAAAGTACACACATTCACACATGACACGTGTGTGCACACACATACACAGGCTCACAAAGCCAATATTTCTATGAGAAATGGGATTTTTAAAACTTTCCTATGCTCAGTGTGACCCACCTCTCTGATCTCATTTAATCCTCATAAGAGCCCTCTGTGGCAGCTTTATTTATGCTGAATTTACAGAAAAGTAAACCAAGTCTCAGAGAAATTAAAAGAATTGTGCCAAGTAGCTGAGATAGAGGAATGCTGGATTCTGAGTCTGCCTCAAAGATCTATTCATGAGAATATTCTCATTCTCTTTCCACCATCACCACCCCTTTCCTCCCCCCCCCCCGGTTCCCCCCCTCCCCCTGTCCCTCCCCGCCTCTTATATACATACACTTACTCATGCAGTCCTCTGGCTCCTTGCTACCTTGCCCTCTGCCTCTCCGTGCTGGGAATTAAACATTCACCAGATCACATACCAGACAGGATGGAGTCTTTTACTATTTGTTTAAATTAAACACAAGCGAAAGTGATGCCTTAACACCAGTGACCCAAATCGATACGGAGTTGGTCACTTGGAATTAAGTCCAAACGTGTCCTTAATGGACCTCAGTCCCATCTGGGCTCTCAAACTCCAGCCCCGGCTCATCTTTTCACAGAAACACCCCAGCGGGTTTTCCTGGGGTGGAGGTGGGAGCAGGATCTGGAGCTATGAGAGGCTGACTGGGCCTCAGCATCACAGACACAGAGAAAGGCACTGGACCATATGAAGGAGTCAGGGTCAGGAAGCTGAGGCCTGGGGCGGGGCCAGCTTGGCAGAGAAGGAGATTGACACTGGAGAACAACATTTCACACACTGGGTCCCTCCAACCATTTTCTTTGCAGGTTTGTAATGAGCATTCCTTGAAGGAGGGTTCCCTGGTTAAGTCCATTTGAGAAATGCTGCATGTTAGGCCATATCCCACTTCCTGGAGATTTACGGTTCACGTAAGCATGTTAAAGGCTATGAGAAAAGCTACAGTTTTCCAGTTTTGTTTACTTGAAACCCAAACTGGTTTGGCTGCAGAACCTCTTTGCATAAATACCTGCTAGCATCTCATGAGCAAGAGTTCTGTAGACCACAAGATGGGTGGGAGGTGCTTCTGCCCTGGACAGGTCTGATCTCTTCCTGGATGGCAATAGTAAGAGTAGTAATCATAACAATAACAACCACTGCCAATTGCTGGGGTTTATTGAGCATTTACTATGGACCAGGCTCTGTTCTAAGTGCTTTGCTTGTATTAATTCCTTAATTTCCATGTATGACTCTATGAGGCAGGTTCTGTTTCTAACTTCCCCCAATATACAAAGAAGCA